GGAGCAGGCGGCGGCCAAGTTCTGGTCCAGGCTCTGGCTCCGGCTGCGGGCTCCGGGCTCGGCCGCGTTTTCGGTCCCCTGGCCTCCGCCGGCCCCGCCCCCTAAACTTCCGGTTCCGGCCCGAAGCTGGAAACCAGGCACCGAGGAGGAACGCTCCGCGGCGGCCGCGGCTGCGGCAGCGGTAGCGGTAGCGGCTACGGGGCGCAGCGCGCGTGCCGGGCCGCGAGCGCGAGGAGATTGTCGGGGAAGCGAGTCGGGAGAGGGGGAGGGGTGGGAGAGCGAGGGCGGGGCCGGCTGGAGGGCGAGGAGGCGGGGCGCATGGAAGCTCGATACCGCGAGGCCTCGGCGTCCGGCCTGCTCGGCCTGCTGGGTTCTGGGGCTCCAGTGGGTGGGCGGGTGGACGCGGTCGGGTTCTGGGGCCCTTGGTTTCTTAATCGCGCTCCGCCGGACTTTCTGGAGCGCACGCCCGAATGGTCACGGGGAGCCCTAGAAGAATAGGACCTCGAGGTGGGGCGGATGGCTGGTGACTTCTCCGGGGGGTGCGTCTACAGCGCCCTGTCTTTCCTCTGGGGGGACGCCTCGTCCGCTCTGAGACTCCGGGAGTCGGGAAGCCGCGGGTGGGAGCTGGTCCGCCGCGCCTGCCGAGCTGACGGAGCGAGCTCGATGTGCGAGAGCTGCTGTTTCCAGTCTTAAGGATGCATCGCACCCCTGTGGCTTGTACTGTTTTCTCTTTCATCTAAAAAGATAGGAAAAAATCACGGAGGATGGGCAGCCCACCCGATCAGGATATGCACGGCAGTTATCACGATGTGCAGTTTGAATCCATTCCCGATACATCCCTTTTAATACACAAAGCATTGTGTTGAGACCTGTTTTGCGCGTAACAGGTTCGCAAATATCTATTACGCGCTGAGGAGGAAACCTGCAAATTTTGATCTACATATTTGATGGTCAGACAAGTGTTTACCTTCTCAAATTTTAGTTATTTTAGGGCCTATTTTACCCGCTTTAAGTTGATTGTTTATAAGGTACTGTGCTGGGCGTGGAGTTGGATCCATATGTAAAAATAGGACCCCTACTTCAAGAAGCACACAGTATTTGCTATACTAGAAGTGACTACCGAATACAAACTAAAGACAGTATTAAAGATACTAGCTTTATCATTTACCATACTTTAGCGAGCTCCTCAAGGTAGTAGAGCCCTTATCTGACTTCTCCCCCATTTGAATGTCTAATACATGATAGGTGCTTAATAAATAATTGTATAAGTGACCAGAGGATAATTGCCTTTTTCTTAAGTTCAATATTCTCACATGTACTCTACAAATTTTTGTTTTTTAATAAGAAAATAAAGCAACTGTACTGTGTTGCTAATTCATGTTTTACTTGTGGCTTACTGATCCCACATTTTTCCCACAAAGCCAAGCCTTGTGTTTATAGTGTTTTATTTTTCTCTAAGTTACTCTGTATTTCTGTTATGTTCATCCTGTAATTGTCTGTCCATTCCTACAACTTGTCAGGGTTATCAGCAATCATTGTGGCACTTTAAACCCTCAGCAAGATTTCCAGTTTTCTAGTCATAGCGCTCACAGTTTAACTGACACTGTGCAACAGTTAAGAAAAGTCCCAAGTTGGTCTTCAAGGTATCTAAATGATCTCATATTACATAGTTCTCTGGCCTTTATGAGCTTTTCAGAAGAATAAATATAAACCTTCCATTCACTGGTCGAATTAAGATCTGCCACTAAATTTCTGGAATGGAAGAGTATTTTATTTAGAACCACCTTCAGTTCATTCAGGAATTTGATGTCGGTTATACCCTGGATCAGGCCTCACTGTTGTCTTATCTCTGCATCACTTCAATATTTTTTGAATTGTGAAACCAGAGCAAGTGGAATAACTGGAATAACCAGTAATAGTACTAAAACTTGAAAATATATTCCTTATCTAAAACTTGAAAATATATTCCTTATCTTACCACTCAAATTCCCCAGTTATAAGAGAAGAATGTAAGAAAAGATGAAAATTATTTTTCTGTAGTATGAAAGAGAAGCAACAAGTCAAGTCGTCACTAGAATATTCTTCTCAAATAGTTAAAATAACCACAGGAGAAAAATTATTAGCATCCCTTAATAGCAGTTATCTATTTTGTTCCTAAATCTGTGTTCACCCCACCCTCTGCATCTTTTAAAAATTCAAAAATAATTTAACCTATTAAGACATGAGAGCATGTGACTAATTCCTACTGAAATTCCAAAGCTTAAACAAGACAGAGGTAGCTGCAGCTGACCCTGCTGCCTCTCTTCATATTTTCTAGAATGACTTTTTCTTATCTACAAATCCAATACCTAACACAGAACAAACTGTACAAACTGGATTTGGGAAGAAAGGTGAAGAAAGGAAAAGCCAACATGAAAGGAATTCTGGTCTGCCAGAGCCTTAGACATTATATGTTAAACAATTTTAGCTAATATAACTCAGTTTTCAAACCTGAGACCTGGCCTTGTAGCCAGTCCACTGCTAGACTCAAGTCCAGGGTTCCTGCAAGTATTTCAATTGCACTGCAAATTATTCCCAGCTGGAAGAATCTTGAGACGCCAGTTGAACCTAGAGAATCAACTGTGTGCTGGCTGGATGAGGAGGTGGAGGTAAATTAGGGTCAGAGACTGCTTTTGAGCTATATGAATAGCTCAAAAAGGTATGGAGTAAGCTTAAATCTTCAACTTTGAAGTGAGGCTGGAATTGAACTTGCCTTTGAGATTGGATATTATGGCATATATTGTGAGGAAATTCACCTTAAGGTATTCACCTGCCTTCGGACATACCAACAGCTACATATAAGGAACACCTACCAAATCTTTGTTCTTTCGTCATCAGGAAGATGACTTAATCCCTTTGGAGTATGAGGGATGTTGAATTCCCCTTACATGAAAGATTTTAATATATTTCTGCTGCTTTCTAGCTACTGTAGACTTACTGTGCACAGATTAAATGGGCATTCCCAAAGTGGCCCAAGTAATGTATTTCTTATATATCAATGCTGTAAAGCACACTACATGGAGAACACACTTGGTATCTTAGTAGATTAAAGGAAAGCAGATAATAATCAACACATCTTCTATTAATATCCTCCTCTCCCTAAGTGTACAAGGTAGAGGGAAAACTCTATATCCTAGCTTTTGCTACTGTTATTCCTCTCTATTTAGGTCTAGCCATAGCATTGCACTGTGCCAATGGAGTAAAAAAGATATGGAATAAGGACATGAGAATAGATATGGGACAAAACATTAAAGCAGAATAGTCTAGGACAGAAAAGCGAGTTAGAATAGTTAAGGAAAGTAGCTGTGGTGGAAATAATGGATCCAACACGGCTACTAATATAAATTTCAACAACCAGTTGGTTTCTCTGTAACCCCAAGAGTAACATTTGACTTTTCTTCGTCTATCAATCACCTCCTTCAAAATCCAATAAATGTGTGGGAATCAAAAAGAACAGACTTAATTTGGGGAAGGCTTTCTCTCCCCCTCCAATATATTATTTCGTGAGTGCAGGGGCTTTGTTTTCTATTTAATTCTGTTTAATTTCTAATAGTTTTATAACATTTCTAAATTTTATAATGATTTTATAAATTATAACTTTTATTTCTTAGTTTCTAACTATTTTATTTCTAATAATTTTCATTCATTCTTTTTATAACGAAGAATAGTGGAGGCTTTAAGATAACACTACCTCCCAAATGGAAAATGGTGGAGTAAACCAACACTACTCAAAGTATGACTCTCAAACCAGTGGTGATTTCAAACTGTTTGTTACTAATCTTCAAAGAGATTAGTGTAGACATTGATAAAAGCTCTTTAAAAAGTTTTGTAAAAACTTGACAGATGATTTTATATCCGCTGAAGCTGATAATAATAAAATAATAATAACTGGGCTTATATTTTAGTTTTTATTTCATGTTTTTAGTAATTCAGTTTTATTGTATTTTACACAAGTATCATAGATTGAAAGTTCACTACAGATAATTTGAGAGGCACTGGAGTAGAGAATAGTCAACATATCCAAGACTCTTTCTCAGAAATAGTGCCCTCCATTCATTTTAACGAATGCTTAAAATCTTGAATAAAGCTTTGATGCTGTAATCCTGAAATTTCCTATAATGCAAGACTGCATAAGAATCAGTCACTTTTTATTACATTGTCCATATTTATCTGTGGTATTCATTTATTCAATAAATAAGTATTAGCTATAGAATTTGTGCTAAGTGTCAATTGTATAGTGATAAGTAAAATGGATATAGTCTCTGCCCTCATTGAGCTTACAGTATCTTGAGAAGAGAAAAAATAAGAAGTAAAAAAGTAATCGTCAAATGGGAAGGATTATTTATAAACAAGATGTTGAGATAATAAGAGTGGTGGAATTGGATAGAAAGGGGACCTACTTAGAATGATTCAGGACATAAAGGAAGTGGCACTTAAATTGAAACCTACAATATGAAAAGGAGGTCGCCATGAAAGGAGCTAGTTAAGAAGGAATAGTATGTACAAAGCCTATGATATGTTTAACAAATTGAAAGGAGGCTCTCACGGCAACAAGGAAAGTGGTATGGATGAGGAGAGAGAGGAAACAGGCCCAGACTATGCAAGATCTTACAGACCAAAGAAAGGTCCTTGGTTTATTCAAAGCAAACCATTACCACTGGAGCATTTTAAGTAAGGGAATTATGTGGTCTGGTTTAAGTTTTAAAAGATCACTTTTGCTCTTACATGGAGAACAGATTACAAGAGAAAACAAAGAAAGCAGAGTGATTAGTTAGGAGGGTGTTAAAATAAGTCAGGCAAGAGATTATTGGTACTGTGAACTAATGTGGAAAGAAGTGGACAGATTCAAGATATATTTTGTAAGTAGAATCAACAGGAGTTGCTGATAAATTGGATGACTCCCACCTTTTTCTTGAGCA